TATTCATAGTTACATTTTAACTAGAGAATAGAAGTCTGGGCTGTTCCAGCTATTTTATTGTTTAGCATTACTGTCTTATAGTGACTGCTTACCCCTGTGGCTAGTAATTGATGAGGACATTAGTAAATAAAGCTTATTGTTTTGTACTGTGCTAGAATTATGTTAACAAATAAATAAGTCTGGTTATACTGAAATAGCATAGGTTGATTTACATGCAGCTTTTCTTTTCTAAGAGGTCACCTTTACAAGAGGGGGAGCTTCAGAGAGGAGCTTGCGAAAGGATAAAAATGAGTTAAATCCTGGGGGAAAGTATCTTGTCTTGAGTAGAGAGTTTCTGGAGTATATTCTCAGTTTAAAAACTGACCCAGACTTATATAGCAACAATGCATTTCTTAATTCACATGGTGAGAGACTTGGGAAACAGCTTTTTATACACTCTCTAAACTTAAATTTTTATTAAATTTTGATAATTTTTCAAATTTTTGTGTTTTAAATATAGCAGTAATATAAACAGGTGATTGCATACTATTTAGTGTCAAAATCTACTTGACTAAAATTTTTTCAGATGTTATTAATATCTTTATTAATATATGTTTATATCTTTCACCAATATTGAACTTAAGTATAGTGACTTTATGTATGTTTGTAATCTAGAGACAATGTATGTTGTTGTTTTGAGATTTAGTAAATATTCAGTGTTTTTCTCTCCTCCATTATAATTCTTCTTAGCTGGAAAAGAAGCAAGCAACCCCTCCATTTCAGCCTCAGATCACAGATGATTATGGTTTGGATAACTTTGATACGCAGTTTACCAGTGAACCTGTGCAGCTAACCCCGGATGATGAGTATGTCTTCCTTTTTCCCCAAATACAATTGCATGTTAAGAGATATTTACAGATTACGAAATTATTTACAGTTTTCTGGGAGGAAAGTGTTAGAGAGGTGTTAGAGTGGGAGGTTCAGTGTTAGAACATGGTTGAGTTAAAGAATTCAGTTTATTTAAGTAACTGACATTTTACATAACTTATTTTTATATATTTGAAGACTGATCATTTATTAGATTACTAGACAGAAGAGTTTATTGACTTATTGCTTAGCATGTGCTTGGCATGGTATTAGGAGATGAAAACTTGATTCCTAACCCATTTCTGCATTAAGAAAAAATAGAGACAGTTTCTCGGATCTTGGAATAAACTTGAGATAGCAGAAGAGCCTTAGAAAAGGGTATTACTCCAATGTGCTATGGAAGCTTTTGCAAGAAGTAGAAGTATGGTTTAATAAAGGAATTTGAAAGCTGCGAAGTGATTGCAGTATGCAGAAGAATTAAAGTGGCTTCAAATACAGGATGGTATACAAGAAGACAGGCTGTTTGGTAGTTAGGTGGGAGACTTCTCTTGCCCAGAGCTAAGCAACTAAGAGCATAACTGCACAAAGGTTTAGGGGTAAGCTGAAGCCTAAAAAGTTGAAATTGGAAGCTTGAACTTCAGTTAGGAAAAACAAGGGGACGCTGTATGCAACAGGGTAGGGTAAAAATGTCAGAGAAAAACAGCCCTGGGAAGATCTAGCACCTGTCTGGTAAGAAATGCTTTGTGGAAAGTGAGAGGAAAGTGGCTCAGATGATATCAGGGTGAGACACGGTATCTAATTGCTGAGGAATACAAAAGCTTGCATCTTTTCTATTCTTTTTTTTTTCCCCCAAGGTTCACTTTTTCTTTCACGGCTTAGGCATGTGACACTAATGCCAGAAGTGGCATTAGTGCACCTTTTAAAATGCACCTTTTAAAAAACTTTAAAATATGGTTCCTCATGAAAGAACTGAGGTATTAATAATAGACTTAGTATCTAAGAACTTAGACATGGTATCTGAAGTGCTGCATGAAATACAGTGGCCTGCCATTTTGGCAGGCAGAAGCTGTTGCATATTATCAAATGGCTCTCATAATTAAGGATGCAAGACCGTTGCATTCCAGCCTGCGTGTTTTTACTAATTGTGCCCCTTCCATGGTGGTTAAGCAACAAAGCTAAACTTCTCTGAAAGATGGGCAATGATGTCTCAAAGCTTCCTTCACAAAGTCCTAGTCCAGCCCCCAGGGATAAGAGACTCTAAAGATTAGGTAGTTTGTCTGGGGATTTAGATTTGTACAAATAAATGCTATGCTAGTTAAATTTATGATTGTAAAAATTAACCCTGTAACTAGTGATCTGATTAAGTTGAGTCTACCCAAGTGGCAATGAATTCACTATCCATGGGTCTTCCTCTTGGTGCTTTCTTGGGCTAGCAGGTGTTCATCCTCAAGTGATTATGTGTAGGGAGATTTCATTGTGGATGTTTGTGTGCCCAGGTGCTCAAGCTTGAATTTTTAACTGGTGTTGCCTATATACCTTAGATCTGTATTTCACAACCTACTCTGCATTCTCTATTTCTCAAAAATCCAGAATAAATGAAGTGACTAGCTGAATCGAGACCAGAGCTATGTACTTCAGTTAAGTTTCTGTGTAGAAACCAAAGAATGGCAAGGCATATTCATCCATTATAGATTTCTGCTTGACAACAAAATTAAGTACCAAGTGCATGTGTGCCTGTAGTGGGAAATTATATGGCATTATTTGACTTCTCAAAAGAAGTTTCAAAGAAATTGTCTTTTCTATATGCATCAATTTATAACTCTTTCGTTTAATTTCCAGTGCATACAAAGTACAGCAACACAAGTAGTTCTAATTGATAACACTAAATCAATGTTTCTCTTTATTTTTCAGAGATATAATAAAACGAATAGATCAGTCAGAATTTGAAGGATTTGAATATATTAATCCATTGTTGTTGTCAACAGAAGAAACAGTATGAAGGAATGTCATCTTCAGTGTGGACAATGTGAATGACCTTTAAATTTATCCTTAACTACAGTATATGCATGCGAGGCTGGGGAACCGTAAGATTTTGGATGGAGACCAATGATTTAAAAAAAAAAAAAAAAAAATTGCTGCTGAAAATCAAAGAGGAGACTAATGATTTTGGTGGGTGTCTTCCGCTACATAGTGGTTCTTAAGTTCTGGGCACTGACACAACTGGCTTCATTAATGAAGGAATTTGCATTTTGTGCCTGTTTCATGAAGAATCAAAACATTCATTGCATCCCTGGAAAAAGATTCTGAACAACTTTGAGATCTGCGCCCTTTCTACAAACATTTGATGCAATGAGCTACCAATTGAAGATTATTAGAGTGTAACATCCTGAAGAATAAAGTGTATTGCAGTGGTGTTGAAGCTTATTTTTGATGCCTTTTTTCACAAGTGGTACCTGTCTAAACGTCTCAGATATATTTAAAAGGAGTTGTGTTTTATTAGCAATCAAAACATAAATTTGGGTACAAGATTTAAGTGCCTAAATGGATAAACTGCTTTGAAGAATTATTACATGTTTGGAACGTTCTTAAACGGGGTAAGTTCTGCTTGTTAATATTAAGTAACCATTTACATATGAAACATACAGTACATAGCTGCAGCATAATATTCATTTGCGTCTTGATAGAATTTGAAATGCAGAGTGACTCAGCAATATTAACTCCAAATTAGAATTTACAATATCAACTCCAAAATCTATTGTTTTAAACTCCAAATTTACCAAAAGATAGATTGAAGAAAACTAAATTTGCACAGAAAGGATTTCTGAAATACTTAAGCAGTGCCTACACCTAGTGATGCTTTTTGTTGTATACTAGATTTTTGAAGAGTATTTTTATCAACAGTACAAATATTCAGAAGTAGGGCAAAAGCATAATAGATAGCCTTAAAGTTTGAATAATACATCTAGAACATCCGTAACATAAAATACACTTTCCTGATAAAGCACACCTCCTACTTACAATAAACTGTCTGCTTGAAAATACTCAATGTATATTAATAACTAATCATCCTATATAAGAGAATGGGATGTTTTGGTAAAACGGTTTGCATCAAAGTAGTAAGTTTTTTTCTAATGGAAGAAACATTGAATACCTGAAAAATTATGTAAAGAGGAAGATAACCACTGAATCCCTTCTCCTAGAAACTGGGGGGTGGAGGGGAGGGGAGGGAAAGGGGGCATTACATCAGAAAGGTTTAACAATTTATCAGCTTGGAAAAACTCATGTCACTACATTTGAGGACTAGCAAGTATGTGTTGCTATCTAAAACTTCAGATGCTTGTAAAGATTTACCTGCCTCTATGGGTAACAGCAGCAGGGGCAGTGTTTCTTTTTACTAAGTTTCTGGTTAACTATATTGTGTGGCTTGTAGGTCTGGAAAAAGGTTTGAGAAGGAAGGAATGAGAAACCCTGTGCCATGACATCTTACCTAATTTGGTGTAAAATGCAGGATAAATTGCAACACTTTCACTTTCTGTACATTAACATATGGTTTTCTCAGGGTACAGCATTGCATTAGGTGCTGAACATGACATCTTTCGGATTCACATCCAAGTCATGAGGTGCTAGGATGAGACTGCCAAGACCTTGTGTTTAAAATTAACCATTGATTGATGACCTACATTTTTGTATCTCCTCATTAGGCACTATTACACAGACCTGTGGTTATTAAGTTCTATTAATACCATTCAGATTTAAGTTGTGGGTTTCTCTCTGTTGGACTGTAGCTTTTTATTTTGAGCAAGATGCGTTTTAACCAGCACTAAATAATTTAACTGGTAAGAAATACTTGCCTCAAATGCCTGGACATTAGAATTATTTGCTTTCAAGTGTAATCACAAAATTTTTAATTTTAATTACCCCTTTTTTCTTTCCCTGTAAATTACTTAATGTACTCTGAATAATTTCTCTTTCAGTGTTTAATCAAATCTCCTGGTTATACGACTAATCAATAGTTAGATCAGTCAGATCATGAATGGAAATACAGAAATTACACTGTCCTTTGACATTCTGGGGCATGGGACTTAGAAATAGAAACAAGGAAGGGTGGAGGATTTTTTGTTTTTCTTTAACCTTGTTTCCGACAAAAAGGCATATTTGCTAAACAAGCATTTAAAAAAATATATACTTCATTTATTTAAAAATATAAGGCATTTAAAATGTTGCTGTGTTGCCAAATAGTTTGCTGGTTACAAGTTTGGTTGCTCATGTGCAAGTGTATGAAAAATGTTCTGTTTATGATGAAGGGGAAATTTTTTATATGAAGTACTTGTTTTATAAATAAAAGAAGATGAAGGATGTAATTAAATGTGTGTTTTAAAAAAATCCTAATATATTACAAATGGATCTGGTAATGATATATAGTTGTCTTATTTGAAAATAGTAAATGAAAAATCTAGCTAATTTAATGATTGTAAAACAGTAAATATGTTCTTGTAGTTTTGTATAATTAATTAGTTGGGATCTTTGCTGACCAGTTTTAATTGTGCAGAAGATGGTATACTAATCCATAACAGTTAAGATCATTTATATTCTTGCACAACTATTAAAGACTTTAATGAAAAAGCTGACTGTTATTATTTATCAGTAAACTGAGCTGTGTCCAGCTTACTCTTTTTAAAAAGACCCCGTTGCAAATTACAAAACTATGGAATTCTTACTGTATTTTGATACTGTATTCAATGTTCCTTCTGTGTTTTTTGGATCATATCTGAACTGTATGTTTTTGAAGTTGAGGCCACAAGTTTATTGTGACAGAAAACCATTCAAATACTGAAACTTAGTCTAGTAATTTGAGTTACACTTTTCACCTCATGGGAAAATTATAGAAATAGCTGAAAGATGCACTGCTGTAACTCTGGCATATAGTGCTTTGTGAAAAGAAATTAATTTCAACTCTGAGGCTGTGACTCAAGACTTGATGTATTGCCTGAATAAGCTAGCTTGTTCAGTAAACTGCACAAGTGAATACTTGGGGCGAGTGAACAACCTACTTGTTGTTTTCCTCCCTTCCATTTGTTGTTACTAAATTATCACTAAATACCGTATATTGCCCATCATGGGGAAGGCTGCTTTTCTCAAACTTACAAAATGCTTACTTGCTGCTATTAGGAAGCTATGAAAATTGTAGATGAGTCTTGATATCATCCAGACATGACAAACTTTCAGTGTGTGTGTGTGTTTGTTTTTTCCCCTTGAAACACTGATGCTTACTAAAGAAAAAGCACAAGCTGTTTTTCCTACTTGCGAGCAGGGGCAAGGAGCAACCCTGTTTTGGCTGAGTGACTATTAAGTCTAGAGTTGCATTTCAGTATTATGAAACTGGCAGGAAAAGTGTTCTATTTATATGTTGCTTTCTGGAGCCTACTTACTTTAGACTAGGCATGTTAATGGAGTGGATGTTGACTAAATACTTATGAAGTAAGATATGAATCTAGCTGTGTTGCTTCAAAAAGGAAAAAAAAATCACACCCTTTATTTGGTCTGGGCTGTGTTTTCTTTAACATAGATACATTCAGAGAATCAACAAAGTCTTTATTTAGATATTCAACTCGTCAAAAATGCAAGGCTAGAGTGAGTTTTTATTTTTCTCAAATGATCTATTGATAAGAAAAAATAGATCAGTAAACTTTTAGATTAACAAGACAACTGTTCATTCATCTAAACTGCTTTCTTCTGTACTTTTATTTTCAGAACAGCTAAGGTACATGAGACAAAATAGGTTCTTCAGGGACTTGCAGCAGTGCATTCTTCTGAGGTACCCAGATTCTAGGAAGGCTAAGTCATTTCTGTGGGGGTCGCTGGAACATCTTATAGCAGCATTTTCAGAACTAGAACTATTTTACATATATTTGAGAGGATTTATAATAAAAGGACCATAAACTGCAGGCAGGTGCTATTTCACTTTCCTTTTTGGAGGCATTGGTTTGGTTTGCTACCCTTAAAGTTTGAGACAAGCATGTTTTCCCTTGACGTACTTTTTCCTTCGAGAAAGGTTCATCCTCGACCTTGTGACTTTGCTCTTCGTTCCTCTGAAATTACCACGTTACATCATCTGCGCTTTCAGACAAGCATCTAGCAAGATGGCCATCAATATCCAATTGTGACAGTCTGTAAATTCAGAGAATTTATTCAGTGAGAAACAAAGTTAACTTATGCTGTTCATCACATTTACTCTCATTTCCTAACTAATCAGAAATGTTGTAGTAGCTTAACAGATAAATCATTCCTATGCTCAGAAATGTTATAATCTGCCACAAACCCTTGTGCTTCTACATGCTGCTGGAGAGTTTGCTAATGCCACTTACTAGAAGGTGATGCTAAGGACAAATAATGCTTTCCTTAGAATGATGGATGCAAAGTTTTTGTTTTAATTATCCTGATTTTGAGAGGTATCCTATCTACATGAAATGCTCTTGCTGTTAGTGATCTTAAAATCAGTTTTCAGTCTAGGAATTCATAATTAAGACAAAATAGCTGATACGAAACAGAAAACCATTATCTTACTCCACATTCAACTGCAACTTGGGGATACAGGAAATAGGAGATCTCTGATAGGGATGGAGGCTTTAACATTTTCCCTTTGCTTCCCCCCTCCCCCCCCTTTTTTTTTTTTAAAGAGTTACTTGTGATTGTGAGTTCTCTCTCCCCACCCCCCCATTATATTAAATGTAAAACTACTGCTAATCAGTACAGAGTAACTAATAGCACAGAGATGAATATGAGGATATGGAGTATATCTAGCCTTTCTGTCAAACTTTCTTGATATAATGTCCACAATTTTGATAATATTAATGAAGCTATCCTCTTGTCTCCTTGTTCAGCATCCTAGAGAAGGAAAATGTTGGAGACATTTATCTTCCAGCTACAGGGCCTGTTAAAGAGCATATGTTAGTTTTCAGCAACTATGACAGCATAGATGCTATTCAGAGGTACAACGGCAGGAGGCTAACGTAGTTCTTATTGGAGAATAGATGTTCAATTGTGTGGTGGTGTGTGTTTGCTGTGGGGTTTTTTGGTAGAGGTAGTCTGATAGCAGTGGATGACTGACATCTTATTTTGTTGTATTAACTTGGGCTCGCGTAAGGAAAATCAGCTTCCTCCCATTTTTCCCTGACCTGGAAAGCTAAATCTAAAATTAAGAGCACAGTTGCTCAGCCAAGTGTCCAGGTACTTGCTGAACAGCTACACCAGTGTAGCTGTAACTGTAAACTCTAGATCTTGAAGGGAATGTGACAAGTATGAGATTAAACCGTCTAGTTCTAAAGTTAGCTTTTAGCTACTAGGAGTGCTGATTTAGAATAATTTTTGAATTATAATATAGACTTCACGAAAGTCTTTTCATACTCAAGTATTTTAAACTGCTAATTCTAAAAATACTAGCAAGATTTACCAGAGAATTCCAACTTAGTTTTTTTTTGAAGTGTTATAATTTACTAATCAGGAACTTTTAGACTGAATTAGAAGTAGGCGATTCTGACACTTCAGAAAGTGGCACTTTACAGTAAAACTTCTGCCTGCCCTGATTTTCATTGTTTCATTTGTAGAGAATGCAACTGAAAACATTGTTTTCTGTATACTCTAAAGTTATTTCAAAAAAGTACAAAAGACTTACGTTCCACTAAACTGAATCAGACACATTGGACAACTGTCAAGAATTAAAGTTACTTCACTCTGATCTTCAGGCTTTTCCTTGCAGCTTTCAGTTCCGGGCACGTTGACAAGAAGAGACTTCCTTTCTGCAGGCATAGATCTGGCCTCACCAAACGAAACATTGCCTGGATGTGTTTGTAACTGGGACTCTCTGCTGTTCTGTACAGTCCCCCTGCAGTGCTGCTGAAAGCTAAGAGCTTTTGCAGAGCTTTGCGACAATGCCAAGTGATATGCAGAATGTTCATGTTGAGCGAGTATACATGATTTAGGATTTTCATCTGGCACTGAAATACCTTTTGAGTTCTCCCCAACCATGTTTTTGGTTTGATCTCTAATATTTACACAGCACGTTTTCTCAGCTGTAGAAGGTAAACTTTTTGGTTTATCTGGTTGGCTGCATCCTTTCAGTAAATGGTCAGTTTGGCTTTCTGTTAGCTGAGGGGAGCTAAGATCCTTTTGTTTTAGACTTTTTTCTTTGTAAAAAGATGGGAATGATATCCACTGAAAGTCTTTCATTCCAATTTTGAAGACTTCTGGTTTTCGTAGATTCTCTTCCTCAGAACTCTAGAACACACCCAAAATGTCCTCAGAACAAATGCAATTCAATCTGTCTATTAAAACAAGATTGGGCATAGTACAAACAACTGAGAAGGCTAAACTGCATTGGAAAAAAAAATAAGTATTTTATATTTAGATCCCTCTTCAGCTCTTGTAAAGCAATTAAGAACTTCCTCCTGGAGTTTATGCAATATATGTATTTCTTTAACATTTTTAAATTGATACAGTTGATTGAACACACATAGGATACTGCTACTATGTCCCACAGAGGCTAAGGAGGATGAAAATGCAATAAAAAGTGAAGATTGCTGCTGTTTGCTCTTGATGTTTGCGGGAGGAGGGGGAGAATTTCCTCTAGGAGAACTCCAGTGGGTTTTTTTGTGTTGTGATAGCCCCTAATGCTATAGAGCTCTTATGTTTGTTACTGTGTAATTTACCTCTGTTACGGTTTGCCTTTTTCAGTTTCATTCCTCTAGCAGAAGCTAGTGCTTATGAGCAGTCAGTGTACTTACACTGGGTCACCTCTTCTCAGTAAAAGTTCTAATGCACTAAACAATTTGTCACATTATGGGGAGTGGGGAAGGAACTAGCAACTTGTTCTTATACCACCTGCTAACCACACTAAGCCCCACTACTCTATGTAGTAACTAAACAGCAGAAAACCAACATCCATTTAAAAGCTGTTTTAGATTGTTTCTCCTAACTCATAGTTAACATCACAGTTCAGATTATCAGTATTTTAACCGCTACAGAAAGTGCAGACAATAGCACACACTACCTTTCCAAAGAACTCTGGAAAACTGGACACTGTTTGCCAATTTGTGCATTTTAAGTCTTGATTGACAGCTTTCAGTAGTAAGATCCATGTTTTTTCACACTCACTTAAGTCGTCTTTTTCAAACCAGGAACATCTGTCAGCCGATGTCCTGTAAACAGAGAAACAGTCCACTAGTTTGCTGTGGGCAGGAGGGAAGGAAATACTTTGCATTGTTACTATGTTTGTCTTTTAACTAACTTGATTTACTCCTCCTGTAACACTAACTGTGTATCCATTCTTAACCTTTGATTTATCAAGACAAAAGTATTAAAAGCAAGATGTTCCAGTAGTTGACAGTGCATTAAGTCCATTAACCTCTTTCAGTCCAATTCAGTGGCAAAATTTTGCAATTCTCCCCTTTCCATTTTTAATGGCCTAGTATAAGGTAATCTTGTGATTGAAAATGCATTTAATTCTACCTTATGTACAACTAAGAACTCTATTCTTGCCTATTTTCTCTTGATCAAGCAGCACAATACCTGCTAAAATGACAGTTACATTCGACAATTCTGGTATGCCAAACCATAAAGAGGTACATAAAAAGAAGCATTTGTCAACTGGAGCAAGTATACAAATGCAGATTCCTCCGAGCTTAAAGGAGGGGCAAGACTACCTGTGGAGGACAAAATGGTTTAGCTGTTCATTACACTATTTGTTTACCAGGGCAACCTCCATATAGCCTACAGCAAGTTCTTGCTAGAACACAGAAGTTATTTATCCTGCAAACTCAGTTTTAGGGTCTGAAGTAACTATTACAGCTTTCAGAAAAAGTTACCCTATATTTGAACAGCATGTCTAAAAGCTGTACTTTCTACTTGTAACAAATGAGGTCTATGTATTACTGTCTGCCCTTCTAGGTGAAATAGTTAAGTGTAGCCATTACTTTTTCTCTCAAGGACTGAACTGGGCACTTGCTGAGTACAGAAATCACTTAAGTGTTTGCACTGAGGAAGGCAACTGCATTGATTCCCATGTCTGCTTGGCTGTTCCTATACTGCCATTTTAAACTACTGATGATCTTTCTAAACAATGCTATCTAACTAATCCTTCCTAGGAAGCCATTAGAAAGGTTTAACTATAAAACAAGCATAAAAAGGTTTTTATACTATTAGAGCAGTATAAAAAATAATGGATTATCAATATCAGAATACTAGTTCCAGTGTTCCCACTTCTTACTGATGCATTTTATTGGGTGGTAGCTAAAGAATGACACTGCAGTAAAGAGGAATGAGGTACAATTTTCCACAAGCCTTCAAAAGAAGAAAAGCAGCCTTCTGAAGCCTATGTTTGGTAAGTGGGATTGCTGACTGCTTGCTTGCTTGCTTATCCCAACAGGCTGGGACAAGAAGCAAACCACTACTTCCTTGCCCGACTTTTCTTCCTCCTCCCTTACTTGAGGCCCAGCCTAGAAGAAACAGAAATTGTTCTTGGCCTCCTGTGAATTTATTTTGAAGAAAGATGTCAAGATAACTTAATACATTAACATTCCCTGTGGGTCCGTCCCTTCCTCGCAGGTGCTGTGTGGTGTCCGAAAAAAAACCATGCACAAGACCTAGTATACTTTAGTTTGCAACTGGCCTCTCAATTTTTTTTTTACGTGCTGTATGTGTTTTATGAAATAACTTGTATACAGCCGTGAATATGCTACGACCACGCCTACGAGATGTTTAAGGCTGTAAGCGTTATCCTGAAGGTCCCAGGCGCATCTCTGCGGCACGGAGGGCGGTGACAAGGAGCAGGGGAGAGCGGAGCGGCCCCTCCTCCGAGGGGCGTGCGCGCCTGACCCTACCGCGGACCGACGGAGGGGCGAGACCGCTGCGCCCCTAGGGCCGGGGAGGCCCTGACGGCGCGGGCGGCGGAGGCG